ATAAACATACATTAAGAAGTGATACACTTAATGGATCATCATATTTACAGATGAGAGCCAAAGAGAACAAGCGTTTTAAGGAAGCTCATCATAAAAAACACACTTACACTGTGTTTAATGAAACTTCTTAATTTGGATTGCTTGGTTGTATTTGTTGTTTGCTTCAGTGTGCAGTAATATCATAGTAAAATGTCTTTTCATTCTTAAAGTAAACAGTGTACAGCCCTGATGTACAGTTAATGTTTTCAAATATATTAATGAGCAGAGCTGGGCCGCATATATAATATATATTACAGATGGTCAATCGCCATTAAATTGGTATCGGCTTACATATAGTGTGTCTGCTCTAATTGCCACTCAAGACACACTCCCCAGCCACTTCATGAGTTGCACCTTGCTTATACTGGTTTGAACCCTTTTTTGGCATGTGACAAATCCCCTGTTTAACCACATCCCAAAGGTGCTCTACTAGACTGAGATGTGGTGACTGTTGAGGTCATCTAACTACAGTTAGATGAGCTTTGGCGTGTTATCCTGCTGAAAGCAACCATCAGAAGGTGGGTACACTGTGGTCATAAAGCAATGGACATGCTCTGCAACAATACTCAGGTAGGCTGTGGTGTTTAAATGATTCTCAGTTGGTACTGCAGGGTTCAAAGTGTGAAAAGAAAATACTCCCCATAGCACTGCATCACCAGGAGCATGCTGAACTACAAATACAAAATTCTGACCCTGCCACCTTAACTACAATCCTGCCAATAGAAAAAGGACTTCTTTAATCAAAGGCAAATACTCACTCATTCAGAATATTTGGGGGACTTTTCATTTATCTGTTATCTAAAGAAAACTGATTTGACCTCAGTGTTGGAGATTCCTCATGATCTACCTATAAATAGCCTTTTGTGATATCCAAATGATGCTCTAAAATGTTTTAAGCACTGGGCACGTCTTGGCATTCTGAGTAATGGACATTTAATAAAGATAGATTCTGTTTTTCACAGTGACGATTTATGGACGCTAATTCAAAACCACAGATCACAGCCAAGAAGGAAAACTGCCAAGAAGTGGGTAAAAAAACATTTCTCTGACGGAAGAAACGGTATTCAAAGGCATTCAACAAATATTTCCACAGAAACTGATTTCCAAGCCAATTTTCACAAGTATGAAAAAGCAGAACACACAACTCTCTGATAAAAGAAACTCTTCAAAATAAAATAAATAAATAAAAAATCCACCTCTCTACAAACTCCACTTATCGTTTCGTTTCTACTACACACAGTAGCTAAGCATTGTTAGCAGTGTCAGCATTGTTCTGAATGATTAAAAAGGCTCTGCGTGTTAAATGTGGAGCATAAAAAGAAATATCACATCTTTCCAAAAAAAAGTGTTTAAAGTGAATGTGACAAATGTTTATACATCATCTTCTGTTGTACCACTTAGTAAGACCAATGTTTATCGAACTGTCTTTGATTTAGTTTGTGAACAGTATAAACTGATGTGATAAATCATCGTTAGACTGGTACCACAGCAGTTGAAATACTACAACAAAAGAATAGTTTGAAACTTCGACAAACGCTTTTGTTTTCAATAATGTAATGTTTGCAGGCAGCCAGAGGAGAATCCAGTAAGTCACTGTATAAGGAAACGGTTAGAGGCAATAATTCTCCCTAAAATCTACCCTTTTGTGTTTATTCACCCAAAAACAGCCATTGCACTGACCACCTTGCTGTTGGCTAGCTTTGAGCTTTGCACAATGGACACACCACCCGTCTGTGTGGAGTGAGTCTGTTTGTCTTCTGATCTTAGAGCCTAACAGAGACTCATAATATCTTTTATTTTGCTCCAGCCTCTCTCTTTGATTTTTTTAAGCTTAAGCTAAAATATTTTTATACAGACACATCTTTAAGTAAATTCACATGTAGATGTGTCCTTTCATTGACATTGTATTATAGCTGTCTCATCTCTACTTAAAAAAAGGAAACTTTTACATTTCTATTTGGAGACATGTTCATTAGTAATATTAGTTATGATGGGGACATCTTTGGAAAGAGCAAGGCTAGCTGTCTATTCCCTACTTCTAGTCTTCATGGTAAGCCAAACTAATTAACTCTTGGCTACGGCTCCAGACCGAGCACACAGCCACAATGGTCTGTTGGATTAACGCAGACACGGCGGCACGGCGAATTAACAAAAGATTTGGAGACCACTGAGTGAATGCATAAAAAGTAAGAGTGTGCAACGTTGCAAAATCACTTTCTCCTCATGTGATTAAGACACGTGGCAGATCGAATTAATTTGATCTGAATTAACGTATTTAAATGCTTTCTGGCACTTTAGTTCTTTCTTATTTACTTTCTCATTTGTTAGGGAAGCAATAATCAAAACTTTGTCTCGGTCTGGTGATGCTGACAAACTCATTTAAAGTTGTGAATAGCTCCGACTCTCAGTTTGCTCCTGCCTCTCAGAATGTGAGAGTCTCCACAGCGGATAAAGCTGCTGTGTATGGAGAGTGGTCTTCACCTCTGTCATGTAATGACGCTTTATTTTAAAGGTGGCTGCCAACTAACCATGGTCAGAACATGTTAGGCCTTCTTCCATATACGTCTCTGAAATTTAAGCTGTGCTTACAAGGGATGTCACATGATCTATTCTTAAGGCACCTGATTTAAATCAACCCATCCCCACTCACTCTGTCCCCACAGAGCAACACCATTTTTGTTCTCCGGAGATTTGTACGCTGATTAAGTCAATACGGCTCTGAGACCAGCCCACAGGTCAGCTGTGATTCAAAGAGTAATGGCAGCATGGAAGACATCGCGCTTGAAGGCACATACTTGTAATGACAGAGCAATTACAGAGTCTCAGATATCACCCGTCCTCTGTGATCCAGGGCGAGAGAGGAGTCAGCGCAGTGGCAGACAAAATAAAAGTTGTTACACATTTTCTCTTTGTTTGTTTTTAACTGACACAAGCTGTAGGATCAACAGAGTAGAAATGAATGCTTGGTAAGACCGAAATTGGACGACAGCAGTATAACCACATGATGGCTCCTTTTTCACGTGGCATTTGGTTGTCCCTGATTTTTTTTAAAGCTGCTTTCACACATCATTGACTCATCAGGCTAACCACCTCATTGCGGCTAAAACCACTGGCCACATGGTGAGGTTTGCTCTATTGTCACATAATCTGAGAATAGCAGAATATAGCTGCACATCAGCGCAGTCCAGTGATACTTTAAACCACAGGAATCGGTTAAGTTATGTTTAGTTACCTTACTACTCTCTTACGCTCTCCTACAAACTTCTTATAAAATGTACGCATCAAACGAATTAAGAAAACACCTGAATCACATATCAGATCTCAATGAATGACACATTAAAAGTTGAAAATCTTTACTGATATACATTTTGTAATTGAGAACAGCAGGTGAAAACCGAAAGCATCAATTCTTTGACGGCTAGATTTAAAAAAAGATAAATAAATAAATCACACAAAAAATCTAAACTAAAGTTGTTCCGCTCTGAAAACTGTCCCTTAATTTTGAATCAGACAAATTGACAGCTCTTTCTTCTTGTTTGAGAAATTTTTTTGATGCTGTCACTAATTGCCTCCGGGGGAGCTGACAGTATCCGAGGATGTGTAAAATCTTTACCTGTAATGTCGGTTCCTCTATCGTCGTCCGAGTCCTCTTCCTTCACATCTGTTCTGACCTCCTCTTTCATTTCTGGTACAAAGAAGTCCGTCTGACGAGACAGCGGAACCATATAGTTGATGACATCCGAACTGTAGATCTCAATAGTTGGGAATGCACAAAGCTTCCTCTCCTATTAAAATGGAAAAAGAAAAAAGACACAAAACAGGAAGTGAGATTTACCTTATAATATCCTATTACCCTTGCAAAGATAGGCGCGTTCGTGCTGTAAAAACCACAAAGACACTGTCGAATGTCACCTTAATATTTGTGCAAACTTGTGCTTGTGTCTCTAATTGAGAAAGTGATAACCTTTCATAATTACACTGAGCTGGAAGAGGAAAAAGAAGGAAAACAAGCACACAGACAGCATGAAGTCTGACTTGCTCTGAGCTGTGAGAAAGATCAGATCAACAGAGAGCAGACTATCTGCTTAAACGACTCACACAAGATAACAGAATTCTACATAATCATCTTCACAATGATCAAGTTCAAGTGATGCACAATCTCTTTAAACAAATAACATGCCCTTTTCTTCACAGTGCCAGTGGCACCGGGGTCACTGGTTCTCAAAATGTGATCCCCACTGGTGGGGAATAGAGCCACTGCAGCTGTGGCGTACACGGCCAGGGGAAAACTACAGATTTCTGATGGAGTCGAGCTAACTAACTAAAAAAACAGAACTGTGATTCTGTTTTTTATCTTTGGTGGTAGGATATGAACTTTTCTGCCTTATGTTGTCAGACATGCCTGAAAAAGTGTTTAGGAAGCAGTGATGCAAAGGCCCTCGTGTTTCATTTGCATGAAAAAGGTCTGAGCAGACTCAATTAACTTCAACACTGAGAGTAAAGGACATCTTCAGTTCTCACTGTACCCATCATGTTTTTCCAAGTTATTATTTTGCACTACAAAAGCTAAACACAAATTTAAAACACCCAAAGGCCTCATAAAACTGCTGGTTAAATCCTTTCTTTCAATGCTTCTCACATAAAACACGACAAAGAGCGTAGGGACCGAGGACCCGTGCTGAAGGAGTGTGATGAACACCTCAAACAAGCAGAAAACATTTCAAATATGCAGTTCAAAAGTGCCTTTGCTGATATAACACTATGTCTTTCACACATTAATATGTATATACTGTATCCCCTTCCATGTGAGTTCATTAAAGTTGCATTACCATCTACATCAGTGCGTCTACACTCTCCGCAAGAAGTATATGCAGTGAGTGGAGAGTTTATAAATATTATACTATCTTTTCCTCTAAAGTGGACATTAGCCTTTCATAATTTTTCTTTATGCTTTCATATAGTTCTCAAGGGACTGCAGAGGAATGAGCTGTGTGATGAGCCATCAGAGCGCGGCAGAAGCAGAGGTGAGCTGCACAGGCTGGTCTCAGCTGTGATCGGCTGCAAAGTGACATATGAATGCTGGAATGCACAGACATGAACACAAGTCAATAAAAATCCCACGCAGTGTTTTTGCCCTTGATTTTATTTTTTTATTCCTTATGATTCATAAAAAAAAGTTGCCTAGTTGTTCACTTATAATAGAGATCCGGCTAAGGGTAACACTCTGTAGCTACTAAAGAGAAGAGAGCTCAGTATGATGGGTTGTTTTACATAATTCTTTCTCGTTCCTCATATTAAAGGCAAATTTATGACTGTATACAGCTGCTGGCTGTGAGCACAGCTGCAGCTGCTCTGTCTGGCTCTTATAGGTGAAGCTGTGGCTGGATACAGTTATCACTCAGCCTTCAGACAGCTGCATTCGAAGGTTGACTCTGTGGTGCTGTGAATATGTACGGCTGTACTATTTGCTTCTGTGACAAATGTGTTAAACCGCCAACCCCATTACAGCACATTCATCACTTCACACACACACGTGCAGTCAGTGTTCTTCTCATTAACAGATGTGTCACAGTCAGAACTGCAACAGCCCAACTACAGCCATGGCTACAGTGACCGCTTTGTCATACCAAGGCTGCCCTCACAATCACAGCAATTACAGCCTCTGCCTCAATCAGCTTTGGCAGTGGTCACTGAGAACTGACCCCCCTCTTCCAGTTTTCTTTCACTGCGCAGCCACACTGAGGCTGCACCGGCCTGCCTTTACATTGCACAGATTAATGCATACCTATGAGATTTTCTCTATTGGTGAAAATGATTAAAAGGTGGTGCAAAACTTTTGCAAGGAGTCCAGGAAAACCCAACCTTTTTTGGTCTAACTATATTGTTGTTTTTGTATATTTTTGGGAGCCACATTCCTGACATTTTGGGACATAAGCATTATGTGGACAACTGATATCAGCAAATGGCTCCAAAACACTCAAAAGATTTCATCGTTTTGAGCTGTGCTTTGGGGCATTAAATCGGTACAAATATGCCCTTTACCAACACCAAAGCAACCTTTAACCATAACATTTCTCCACCATGCTTGAAAGATGGCTTCAAGCACTCCTTCAGCATCTTTCCATTTGCTCCACATCTAAGAGCTCAAACACACATGTGTCTATACACGACACTTCTTTCCCCCAAAACTGTCTCTGTCCAGTGTCTTTGAGGGTTTTTTTTTTAACCACTCTTAATCACCTCCTTTTTACTGGCCAGCCTCATATTTGGCTTTTTTTGTTGCAACTATGCCTAGAAGGCCAGCTTCCAAGAGTCGCCTCTTGACTGTGTGTTGATAATGGTGTTTGGTGGGTGCCATTTAATGAAGCTGCCAGTTGAAGACCTGTGAGGCGACAAATACATCAAACTACTTGTCTTCTTGCTCAGTTGCGCTCCAGGGCCTCACACATCTCTTTCTATTCTTGTTAGAGCAAGACCGCACTGTTCTGTGGAGGGAGAACTTGCCAGCACTGCATGCGATCTTCAGTGTTTGTCAGTTTCCCACAGCTTTCATTTCTTAGAACAAGAGCAAGAATAGGAATGTTTACAGCTTTATGGGGGGCCCCTTTTAAGACTTGAATAAAACCTGCAAAGAATTCAACATTAACTGAATAAAGAAGTGTTTCAGATTTCAGCCGTGATGACAGGAAAAGGAGTTAGGATTTCGCTTGCATTAGAGAGCAAAACGTGCCATTGACACACAGGAGTGCGCTTTGCTATGAGCGTCTGTATGAGACAACATTCCATTATCATCATTAATGGCATTCACAAACAATTTCATTAATGTAATTTATTTTTTATGTACATGTCTTTAAACTTAATAACAACATATTTAAGTGATAACTTATTTTTAGCTAAAATTACAAAAAATCAATAGAATGAAAAAGTAAAAAAATATGCAATGCTAACTGCAAGTAAAACTATAAAAGCATTAGAACAAAATGCCCTTGAAGTATTGAAAGCACACAAAACAGAAAAAATTGCCTCATGATTGTTATGTTATAACTGATGTCTCGGTATCTCCTGCTGAAACCGAGCAAGCCGGTGCTAATTTGAGCTACTGAACCTTGTAAACATAGCTTTTATCACCAAGTTTATATATATATTTTTAAATTATTGCCACACAAAGTAGAAAGTAACTGTAAAGTAGAAGTTGTGAAATAGCTCTGAAGATACTTGATATTTTTCTATTAAAAACAGGAGACTTCGAATAGAAGGAAACATGCAGGGAAAGCTCCAGGGAAGTATAACTCTAAAAATGTGACTTTGCACCATTATATAGATTTAAATATTCTTATTCTATACACTTTTTTTTCTTCGACTAGCAAATAAGCGAGAATGACATTTATAAGAAGTGCTTTTGGTTCAGCTCGTTAGTTAAACCTCTCAGAACTGAAGTGACCACTTCGATTTTTTTAAAAAAGCAGTTTCTCCCCAAAAAACAAAAACGCCCTTAAACCTGGTGCACTTTTCAAAACTTCTTTTTGCTCTTTGAAAATGTTGCGAGGTTTATTTCTTTAAATCTGCTGCTGGATAAATGTGTTGTTATGTTAAACCGCACTGCTGATTTCTCCTTAGCGCACATATTCGTTCCCACGTGGAAACCTTCGCGCACTCGCTCTCTTTATATTACACAGTATAACTCCACTGTTTGAATTTTTATGCTCGCGCTGCTCTTCATCTCACCACGCAAATGTTCATAAAGGTCTCGTCTATAAATTTAAGTGAATGTATAGACTTGCTATGTTGTCATGGTTATGTTACAAAACAAGCTATTCTGAGCTCTGAGGGGGAAATAATGAAAGAAACAAGTTGGATGGCCTAACTGCGGTAACCTGGCTCCATTTCCTATGGGTCAGGGTGATCTAGGTTGACTGATGGGTTTTAATCTAATCCTTGCAAAATAAGACTGTAGGAGCTGGTATGAATCACCTGGCTGCTACACACAGAGGCTCCAGCCTTGGGGCTCCTTATGCAAATGAGTGCCCATCTCCTTGAACCTACTCCGATAATGAGCAGGGAATTTGAGACAAAGACAGTTCACCATACTGTAGGCATACATGTATCTCCAAGGGATACGGTAACAGATAAAAGAAAGAAAAGCACATATAAGAAAGGTGTAAACCAATATATCTGCATTACAGACAGTAAGAGTTACTTTAAAACAGTCATTCGTTAATAAATTTCCATTTCTTTCCATAAAAGATTCTTCTAGCAGTGACTGCAAGATGTTATTTAAACACTTGGCTGAATCTGATGAATTAATGGTTACCACAACATCAGGGAGACAGGATAGAACTTCTATTATCTTTGGTACAAATACAATTTTTTGCCTTTAACACAGGAAATGCAAAGTACTTTCTTTTGCAAAAGTCTCATACCTGAATAAAAAAAATAAATGAACAAATAAAGCAACACAACAGCATGTGAAGCTACAAGAGGCACAAGACAGCTTATTAGACAGCACGGGATTCTGGACCTTTTAATTTTATAAATCATGTCATGCATATTACCAATTAATTACCAATTAATACTATATAGTGATTTACTGACACATATTAGCCCATCTCAGTCCTGAGGAGGAATGTTTCTATAACATCTTATCTCATCCAAAACATTAGGGCACGGTCCGCTGGGTCATGTGGGTGGAGCTTCTGTGTTCTTTGGGCTGGCGGTGTGGTTGCTTAAAATGCAGCAGTGTTAAAGTACGTAGATGCCAAAGTGACATCAATATAAATGTACACAGTTTTCCAGCAGGGCATTCAGTTGTTGTGACAAATCATTGGGCACTTACTTAATTCACAAACGCACCACTCTAGAGCTGTTCTTCAAAATAAATGTACTCCACATTAAAACAAAATTTGCTTTAACAGAAACGGTGAATATCATTACTGCACTCCTGCTAACGCATTAACAGTGTTACGTTGTTGAATATATTTATTTTGAAAATCATCCTAAAAATTACGAGTGGTGTGTTTTTCACTTCCATTAACATATTTTGCAATACGAAGTTGATTTTTTGAAAGTTTTTATTCTAATTTTCCGATTATAAAATCTTCACATAGGTTTGTTTATTCAATCATCTTCCCTGCTGCAGGCATTTTACTACACTTAATCTGTGGTTATAAGATTCATTTCTATTGTATCTTCTGTTGCTCTTTAAGGTATTTCAAAGACCTCAGTGACAGTTTTTTTAATTACTCCTTTTGCTGTCGACACAAACAACTACTTCTAATTACACAGTAATTGATTCTTCACTTTAACTGTACTTGCCTTTATGAACAGTGCACAATCAAAAGGCAATCTCTAAACTGAAGTACCCAAAGTAACATTAACATAATTAGCTTTTTTCTGTCTTTGATGATATTTAATGAAAACTAAACAGAGACAAAAAATACTAAAATATATACGGAAGCAGTTTTCAAACATAAGCCTACCTGTTATAGCTGGTAGGCCTATGTTATAGCTGCTCAAGTCTTCTGGCAGCATTAATCTTTACACCTGACAGTGACTTCTGTGATAGATTTTTATGAAGTTAACACCTGTATTTTAGGGGGATTGCACTTCTTTTTCAGGAGGCCTGATGGAACCTTTTGGAGAACAATGACCCACGTTGTGTTTGGTGCTGTTTGTTTTGGCTCTAGGATAGGCCTCAAGGACAGACTAGTTGCTTTTTGATAGTGCAGAGGCACAATTTGTTTCCTTATCTGGAGAGCAGACATAGAAGGGGGTATATGAAACTCTGTGTGAGATTAGAACATCAGAACAGGGATGATGATACCTGCTGTAATGTGTTTTCATTTCTCCTCTCCTTGATATTCAGTCATTTTCATAATAAATATATTCATATTTTATACTATTCTTCTGGGTCCCTTGATTATTTCTGCATGAAGAAAATCTCTCATCATAACTTCTTACTAACCTGCTTTTGTTTACTCCAACATTGTTGGGTTCCCCCCACACACACACACACACACCACCACCATCACCACCTTTTTTTAATCAAAGTATTTTTTCTTGTGGTAAATCCTCCTCAGCTAATATAAAAAGCAGGAGGTCTAACATACATTAGTTTATTTCACAAGGCATT